GGCCGTGTGGCATTTTCCTCGGACAAAAGGGGAAAAGCAGCAGCCTGCTGCCTCACATACTTACTCATCCATTTGCTCATTGCACAAATATTTAGTGATGTTGCCATGATGCCTAATACTGTGCTGGAAACTGGTGATACACAGCCCCACTCAGAGGAACTCCCGTTCAAGGGAGTTCAGGCACGTGACAGGCACTGGCCTAGCATTTTGGGCCATCTGGCCTGCTCGGAGGACCTCTGCCACTCAGCTCCACAGAGGCCGTGGAGGAGGGGACCAAGAAGAATGTGGTGGAGATGCAGAGGTCAGGAAGGACGTGGACAGTGTTCTGCCTCTCGGATCAATTCTGCTGACCAGCTGGCTTTATTTATGCGTTTCTCCTTTGTAGGAATTCCTTGCTGTTAACAAAAAAGCAGTTGACACATTTCTAATTAGCCCTCAGACTCTGCAATCCTATTATTCCCAAATGCAACAGCTGGGTTATTTCACGATCAGTAAGAACATTTGTAGTTCCCGCAGTTATCCATCAAACTGGGGGCACTGCTTCCCTGACTTCTGATGGGACTGTAGAGGACTTCTCCCCCCTCATCCTGGGGCAGCAGGGTTTGGCTTCTGGCCCATGGTTGGGGGAGGGAGCCAGCTGCTTCCGAGGAAGCACTGTTAGGGCACCTGTGTTACTGACTGCACACGCCCACACTGACCTTAGATGCAGCCCTCCTTTTCTCTGGGTCCTGTTCCTGCACCTGACTCGGAAGTCTTTGACCTAAGAGAAGCGCATGTTTCACAAAGCTACCCTATCTTTTTCCTTTTCTGTCTTCCTCTTTCCCTCCCTTCCTTCCATCAAAGAATACTTAAAAATAAGAATTAATTAGAGAGAGAGAGAGAAAGAGATTTGTTGTACCACTTATTGATGCATTCATTGGTTGAGTCTTGTATGTGCTTTGACGGGGGGGCGGGCGGAAACTGCAAAGTTGGTGTATTGAGACGATGGTCTAACCAACTGAGCTACCCAGCCAGGGCCATCAGCGAATTCTTAATGAGGAGCATGTACAATGTGCCACTATATGCCAAGTGCTGCTCTAAACGCAAGGGAAGCAGTGGTGCACAAAGCATGTCAGAACCCCTGCCTTACGGAGCTGCCGTTCCCGCGGCAGAAGCTGATATGAAAAGCCATAGTTATCAGACAAACAGAATGATGACTCAGAAGACTCTTCGAGTTCCTTTCAAAGAGCCAAGTCTTCTCCTCAATCTATCACGGTTTATGTAAACTGAACTTATAAATAACTTTCCCTCAGATGCACCAGTGCATTAAGTGCGGTCACCTGGCAGCGAGTAGCAGACGTGTCACCCCGTGGCTGCCTGACCTCTGCAGGCATCGGTTTCTCGTCTGTGGAGTGGAGCGGTCACACCTTCCTGGCAGGGTCGTGGGGATGTTCTGAGATCGTGTATGGGGGTAGCGCCTGTTGCGTGGTAACGTATATTCTGTTCACCATCCATGCCTCCTTTCCTGCTTAGAGGAGCCATGGGGTTCTAAGCTGTTCCCTTCACCCACCTTCTGGGCCCCCACTGCGGCTGCAGACAGGACAAGAGGCTTCTGAGCTGGCACAGGGTCTCAAAGGCAATGGGTGTGCCGTCAGGAAGAGGCAGCAGCAGAGGCTGGTGCCTTGCTCTCTGACCCTCCAGCCCTCCTGCTCTGCCTCCAGTCTACTCAGCAGAAACTTGGGAAGAGGCAGCCACCCACCTGCAGGGCAGGCGGTTGTCCTTGTTGGACCTTGGGTGTGGCCAAGGAGGCCCTCGTGGGGTCTGTACTCTTTCAGCACTGGTCAGCAGTGCTGTGTGGGTGCCCTGGGCAGGCCCTTCAGAAGCTCCCCTCACCCAGCCGCCAGCAGCAGTGCCTCCAGGGCACCGGGCTGGTTACCGGGCACTGGATTCTGCATGCTTTATTTCATCTGACCTCTCTCAGCTAAGTTAAAGGCTGTCACACCCCATTTTACAGTCGAGGAAACTGATGCTGAGAGGTTAAGAACTTGCCCAGGTCCCTCTCCTATATGTGACAGACCAGCAATTTGAGTTCAGGTTGTCAAACTCCAGAGCTAGGACCTTACACTGAGGTATGCCCTTTCTCCCCCGTTATCCACCCACCTCCTAAATCCATCCAATGCAGGGGCAGGGAGTTCCCTGGGGCCTCTGGGAGCACCAGGAGCTCATAGCCCTTTGCCCAGCTTATCTGAGTGCTGGCTTAAGCAGCATTAAAAGAGAAGGGGACCATGCCCAAAAGCAATGTCACAAGGGAGAACATGCTCAGGGAACTGGAAGTCCAAAGTAGTGCAGTTGGAGGGATCTTAGAGGTCATTTCTCAGGATCCCTCCTTTTACAGAGAAGAAAATGGAGTCCCAGAAGGGCAGGCGAGTTCCCTGCATACAGAACTTCTGACCACCCTGCAGACTTCCCTGTGGTGTCGGAAACCCTGCCTGGAGCCCAGACACTGCCGTGGAGAAAGGACTGAAACCCAGCCCCACTGCTTACCTGCTGTGGGACTCTCAGCAACTGAGAGCCTGGCTTAGCCTTCAAGTCTTCATCCTGGGGTTGTGGGTGTGTTAGAGATAATGTGTGTGAGATGCCAGCACGGCAGCTGGCACCTGCTATGTACTCAGTGAACTGGAGCTATTATCATCACTCTTGTTGTTTTAGAAGTTCGACAAATGTTAGGCAACACTGGTCCTTAGGTGTCGCTTGATTCTGTGGTTCTGCTAGAATCCATTCCCAGGACCAGTGAGGAAAGAGTGCTCACTGTCGCCTCTGAACACGGAAATCCGTCTCAGGGACGCCAAGGCTCAGCTCTGCATCTATTCGGCGTTAGACTCTGGAAGAAAGACCATGAGCTGTAGCTGAGGTAGCAGCTGCTAGTTCTCGTCCCTTCCAGAAGGCCTATGGCTTCAGGCCCATCACTCACCCTCTGTGTTAAATTTCTGTGGTCAAATGAGCATGGTAGTTACCCGCCCCCTAACCCCACCCCAAGGGAAGTTTGTCGTGTCTGTCTAAGGAAGGGTTGGCTGTGAAGTCTGCCACCATCCAGTGAGGCCAGTGCTCCTGTGGCGTTTTCTGGTGGGGGTTGGGGGAAGGATGAGGAGGGCTTCTCTTTGGGACAGAGCTACCAGGGAGTGACAATTTGGTGCATATGTGTAGCATCCTCACCACCGAACCCTGGGGAATAAGGAGTGAGACTTGTAGAAACTGCTAAATTCCAGCTGTCCCTTCCCTCCCACTGCTCACAGAGCCCTTCTTTACCAGCCTGGTTTCTGTTTGGCATGGTCCTGGGACTGAGTTTGGAGTTTTTACTAGGGGTTAATGTAATGAGTTTGGATCCCACATGTTCTCACCTGGTTCTCTCAAAACCAAAGCCAACTAGCTATGCACGGGCCACGCTAGGATGAGGGGTACAGCCTGTGGCCACCTGGCTGACCTGAAAGCCTGTGTGGAAGTGGGGACACCAGGAGAGCAGTTCTCTTACACTTTCTTGTTGTCTGCGATTCCTATGGGGTCTGATTCCTAAGGAGCAAGGTCGCCCTGGCCTCCAACAGAGGACATGACTGCTGGGTCTGCTCCATGATTCCTGCATCTGCTACTTGTGTGGTTCAGTCCTGAGTGCTGGAGAAATGGGGGACTGAGCGGTGGTGACATGAGGTGGCTGGAGTAGGGAGGCACAATCTGTGACACCACCATTTGCCTGATTCCTGAGGGGGCTGCATTTAGAGGTCAGGACCCTCTGTGGGCCTTCAGATTAGCCACTGTCCAGCTGCACCTGCGGGAAGCAAACTCCCTGGCATCCAAGGGCCTCCTGAGCCCAGGCTCGGCCAGCCTGGCCAACCTCAACTTCCACCAAGACCTCCCCAGCATCCTGGACCCCAGCAATGCCAGGCAGGTCTTTTCCTTGAAAACATCAACTCCTTCCCCCCTTAGAGGGAACCTTTTCTCCCGCTACTTGTACATGCAGCCCACACCCTGCCCTGCCTCCTCCTTCCCTGCCTCTTAAGGATTTATTCAAAGATTTATCCACCTTCTTCGAGAAGCCTTACCTAACTCTGCACTGCATTATTTCTTCCTCCGTGCCCCCCACTTGGTTGGTTTATTTAACACCCATTCATTTCGTGTCTGCTCTGTGCCCACCAGCCTGTGCTGGCCTTCCAGGATCAATTTAGCCCACCTTGTCTTCTGCCTGAGTGAGCGCAGTTCACACGGCATTCTCAATGCCACCAGGGACTGGGGCAGAATCTCAATGACTTCTGGGTCTGCGTCCCTCACCACTGTGTTTTGTACTTTGTCCAAAGTGTCAGATGGAGAGGTGGCTTCTGGACTAGGTTCTGCCCACTAATTAGTCACCCGGCCCTGGGCGAATCTTCCTGCCCCTTTGGGCTCTCTTCTTCCAGATGAAGTAGTGATGATGGTACCTCAGTGTTGTCCAGGGGACAGTGAGGCAGGATAGAATGAAGCATCACGAAAGCTGGGAGCCCCAGGCCAACGGAACATGTGAGGTGGTTGTACCCCTATTCTCCTTTCACCGCTGTGAAGCGGAGCTCTCTTCGAATGTCAAGTGCACTAGTTTCCAATCCCTCCTCAAGGCGGGCCCACGGTTGGCTTGGGATCCTAGGCTGGAAAGAATTCCGGTGTAAACTCCTCTAGCCCCGCCGCCCCTTCCCAAGGGCTCCCCGACTATAACTTAAACAACGCTCCAGAGCGCAGTTCAAGCACAGCCCCAGATCCGCAGCTCCACCGCCCAGGCCCGGGCCGGGGTCGAGGTCACGCATCTTCAGACTGTGACTCAGGGCCGCTCCAGCCCGGGGTGGGTGAAGGTAGGCGGGACAGACCAAGGCCGCGCGGGGGCAGCGGCTTGGCGCTCTGTCGCGGGGCGTTGAGAGTGGAGACCGGCTCTAACCCGTCGCCATTCCGCCGCTGGCGTCTGCCTCTCCGGGCCTTCCTCTCGCGCCTAGTCGCACCCGTGGTGCTTCTCTCCCGGAGCGCAGCTGCCCGGACAGCCGACGCGGCTGGAGCTCTGGGCGGGCTCTGCGCGTGAATGAATGGGCCCCCGGGGGACGCGCGCGGGACTGAAGGGCATTAGGACCGTGAGGATCGCTCCGCGCGCCTGTCTCTCCCTATCACCCCGCCACCCTCCACCTCCCTCCTTTTTCTGCTCTGCAGGACTGAGCAGCCCGGCGCGAGCGAAAACAAACAGCTGGGGCTGCGAGCACCCCCGCCCCAGCCCCTAGAGCTTGCCGGCCCCGGCCCCCACTCGGGGCGCCCGCCCGCCCACCATGAGGAAGATCCGTGCCAATGCCATCGCCATCCTGACCGTAGCCTGGATACTGGGCACTTTCTACTACTTATGGCAGGACAACCGAGCCCACGCAGCATCCTCAAGCGGCCGGGGCGGGCAGAGGGCCGGAGGGAGGCCGGAGCAGCTCCGCGAAGACCGCACCATCCCGCTTATTGTGAGTCCTCCCTGTGCGCCCAGGCAGCCAACCGAGGAACCGCGGCGCGCGTCCTAGACCCGCGCGGCTGCGAAGGGCGCGGGGCCGGGCCGGGGGCTGCGTGCCCGCCGCGCCCTTTCGGCTTTGTATATGTTGGAGCATTCCTGCACGTTGTTATGGCAACCTCCGTAGGGCCAGCGAGGCCAGGGCGCACGGATGGAGGAAGGGTGACAGTGAGTGGGGGTTGGGAGAAAGTGCTGCAAGTTTGGTGGGCCCCGCGTGCGCGAGCTACTGGGAACGTGGCGGCTCTCTCGGCACTGCGCCGCCGGGCTGGGGTGGGGGGTTGCCGGCGCCTCGCCCGCTCGGGAAGGCGGCTGGACCTTAGGCGCAGCGAGCCGGCAGTGGGAACCTCGCGCGGCTAAGCGCGTAGGTGACCATGCGCACCCCCTCTCCAACCTGCTGGGGGCCAAGGACCTGAGGTAGGGGGATGTTAGGTGAGGCAGGGTCGCTGTGGGCTGCGCCCGGCTTTGCGTCACCTTCTTAAGCCCGGGTCAACTTGAACCTGCTTCTTTGACACGAAGTACTCCCCACTAACAGCCCCGGCGTTCTTTGGGTTGGGGAAAGGTCTCGTCCTGTACGAACCCATCACCCCATCACGAACAGGTGAGCGTGCAGTGTCTGCGGCCGGACTCGGAGATTTCCTTTGGTCAGCCTCGAGAGGTCGAGGCGGGCGGGGAAACAAAGGCGGCCGAGCAAGGCTAGGGCCTCGGCGGAGCTGCAGGGGCCCTAGGCGCTCCAGGGACCTGGGTTGGGGCGTGCGGAGCCCCGTCGTCCTGCAGGTGGCGTGCCTGCCACCGCCTCCGCCGGGGCGTGGGGTGAGGGCTCTGTGGCAGGGGCACCTGTTGAGGCCGGAGGCTTCCGGATCCGCGGAGAGGGCGCGCTCCGGCGGGCTGCGTTCTTCAGACCCGGCCGGGTGTCGGGCGACATCCATGGGCAACCGTCGGGACCAACTGCTGGGCGGATGCAGCCTGGCCAGACATAGACGGGGGGGAGGGAAAGCAAAGTGTGGGGCTGAGGGTGGGGGAGTCGATCAGGGCGGCCAGTCTGACCTGGGCTGGGGGAGGGAGGGGTTGAGGAGCTCCCGGGGAGATACAGGTCAGGAGGGCGAGGGCTTGTGCGGAGAATTCGAGATGTTTTTGCAGAGGCAGCTGAGCCCCAAGAATGTGGTTGTGGCAGTGGGGGGTTTCGGTGTGGAATCTCATATTCCCATCCTACTCCAGATTCTGTGTTTTGTTACCCACCCGGGAAGAAGTAAAAATCCCTGCAAAGGAACTGTATTTCCTGGCTTTGCCTGAGATACTTGCCTTGGGGTTTGCTGGTTTTCCCAGCCCCCCACCCTCCCAAACACTGTCTGGTTGAACTCTAGGGGGGGCGAGCCTAATTAGCAGGAATTTCCTTTTCTGGCCTAGGGTCCCTGTCACTCGGACACTGGTTCCAAAGCACTTGTGGGTGTTTGGATAGAACGCTGATGAGGAGAAGCCTCCAGAGTGTTGGGATCTATAGGGATGGACTGACAGATTGGAGTGGAACTGGCCCAACCAGTGTGGCCCCAGGTACCCTGGGAGCTGAGCTTCCACACCAGGGACTCCTCCAAGCTGCCCCTTTCTTACATCCAGTGTAGGTCTCAGGGTAGGAGGGCCCAGAGCCGCAGGGGACTGGCCATCTGGTCAGATCGTTCTGTCCTCTGTGGGGGCGGAGGGTCTGAGCTAGAAGAGGAGAGGGAAGGGAGAGAGGAGGGAAAATGGGGGTGGGGGAGAGAGCACAGGGATACTGCTGCTCAGAACCCCAGGCTGGGTCTCATCACTTGTGCCTCTGCTGCAGAATCCTGACCTTGCACACGGACCTCTCCCCATTCTCCTCCCAGCCAGTGGAGATCAGCCCAGAAGGCTACTCTACTGGGGCTGAGAGCCCCAGGATGGTGTGGGGGGAGGGGCACTGCTGGAGGCCGGCAGTACTCCTTTTGAGGGGTGGAAATTGGAGGTTGTGGAGGGGGTTCAAGTGAACCTCCTCTCTGCCTGTCCTGGTTCCTTGGGGCTTTTGACTTGCTGCAGATTAGAAAGGGCTGTGAACTGGAAGCCAACTTTCAAGGTGAAGGCGCCAAGGGAGTGGAAGTGGCAGAAGAGAGGGAGAGAGGAAGTTCCTGGGGAGTGAGTGGTAGAAGCGTCTTTGGCAATGTGGGGTAATAGTCAGCCCCCTCGCTGTCTTCTTAAGCTTTAGTCCTGGGTGTCTGTTCCGTAGGCATCGGGCCCCAGACGCAACGCCGCCTTTGTCGCAGCCTTGTGTTTGTATCCCGGTCTTCCGAGGTAGCACACTTCGGTCATTTACCCTGTCTTGTCACTGAATGTAAGCTATCACGCAGGGACTATGCAGGAAGCTTCTTGGGGCCCCATGTAGATGCACACAGCCAGATGGAAGGACTAGTTAGATGAGTGAAGTAAGATTTCTGCCCATCTCTGGGAGCAGTCAGTGGTCCTAGCTCCATAGCTCTCATACTTCAATCATTCCCAGCTCCAACCTGACTACCTAATTTAGGAGATGGGGGACTGCCTATTCCGCTTCTTCAGAAGTTGAACCCTTTGTTTAACTAACTTAAAAGGCTCAGGCGTAGCTGAGGATTGGCTTTCTCCCTGAAATCTGGTTGACGTTTCGCTAGTCTTCTTGCTATCCCCAAACACATCTCTAGTTGGGCCCAGACACTGCGTGGGGATTTTTAGCTGCTTAGGGAATGAGGTGGCCAGCTCTGCTGACAGTCCACTCGGAAATTCAGACAGGTGCCGTCATCATCACTCCCCTGGGGAACCAGAGCCAGGTTTCGGAGGGAGGCCCTGCCCAGCAGCCGGGCCAGGAGGCAGCTCTGCCTTCACAAGGTCGGGGCTCTCTGAATCCAGCCAAATTGCTTCTGGACCTCAGACGCGCTTGTTTGACATTGTGGAGTGTCAACATGGCAACCATAAGGTCCCGATTTCTTGGGGAGGTCCCGATTTCTAACATCCTGTCCTGCTGTCAGCGCATGTCTCACAAATTTCAATGTGAAAAATTGGTCCCAGGCTCTGTAAAACGGAAGGGAGATACTGGCTGCATCCCTCGATGGGGAAGACGATGGGTTTGGGGACATCCGCTGGAATCTAAGTGGCACTGGATGCTGCGAAGCAGGAGGCGAAACAGGCACCTCTGGCCTGCCGGCTTCGGGCCTTGGAGTCGCAGTCGGGAAGGACATTGGTGGCAGGTTTGGGACTCGGGTTTTCCGCACGCAAATTCTCTAACAGGTGTAGGTTGGGTGCTCAGGCCTTAGGTGGAAGTGTCACTTTACAGACCTGTTTTAAAAAGACTATCTATTATGGATATTTTAAAGATAGGTAGACTCATTTGCAACATCTATTTGGAACCGGGGAAGTTTTAGGCAAGAGTTTTTCTAAACGGGGGTGTCTTATCCAACAATTGGGATACTTCTGGGTGACCATGGATAAAATACTTAACACCTCTGGCCCTTGGTTATTCTATGTGTTAAATTTGGGTTAAATGATTTCTGTTGATCCTTAGATAAGCTTATTCATTTCTTGACGTGACTAAATGACTCTAAGGGACTTCTCCCGAAGAACACTGTGAGGTGCATGGCTTGTCACCCTCAGGCTTTGCAGGGACACCCCTTCCCCAGCAGCAAAGAACACTGAAGCCACCGGTGGTAGCTTCCCGGCATGTTCCTGGAGAGCAGAGGCCTCAGTTAGATCTGTCTAGGTTTATATTTCATTTATAATGTGTGCGTTTTGAAACCGTGGAAATATGATTTGCTTAAATGGTGAAATGATTTTTTAATTAATTTATCTAGGTGCTGCTCACGAAAAGCACAAACACCCACAATCCCTCTCGCCAAATGTTCAGATTGAAAGGACCTGGTTTTCCGTCACTGGGGTCCCATCCTGGGAGTTAGGGACAGACCAGAGGCACCAAGGCCGGTAAGGGCCCTGACAGCCTGAGTCACCTCCCCGGGAGGTCCACAGCCCAAGGGCACAGGATCACTTGTAGGGTGCTGCTCCTTCCCGTCCCTTATTTCTGTGACATGACTGCTCCAGGGCTTGGGCCTGGCTTTCTTCTCTGGTAACGGATTATTGGCTCTGTGAGCGGAGCTCTGAAAGTGCCATCTAAGCCCACGTGGAGGGGCACTGATTGGCAAGGCTGGGCCGACCTCCCTGGGGGACTGTCTGGTCGGAACGGAAGAAACCGCCCTGGGGTTAGAGGTGAGCCTGAAGCTGAACAGTTCATTACAGCTAGAAGATTGAAGATTTATTCCCATCTGCTTCTTGAGACCTGAAACACCTTCCCGGTGAACAGCTGGGCAAAGACACAGCAGGCTAAACAGACAGGCAACCCGAGGCTCCTGGAAAGGAGCTGGGAGCAGAGCTTTCAGACGTGAGCCAGTGCTGGTTACCCTTGGGCAGCGATTCGGTTCACTGAATCGGACTCTGGGTTTGGTGTGGTTACAGACAGTGCGCAGCCCACTCTGGAAACGGCTTCAGGTGGCTTCGCCTCTCTCTGAGCACTTGTGGTCTTTGCTCTGTGTCCACCCAGCCTCCATAATCGCTGTCACCTCTGTATTACACTTATGGTGGCTGACTCACTGGACACTTGGACATGGTGTTAGGTGCTTTACAAACTTTGAATCCCCTCAACAACTTGTGAGGAGGCGGCGTTATGAGGTCCAGTTAACATAGGCATAAAGTGAAGCTTAGAGAGGTTCAGTGGCTCACCCGTGACCCAGCAGCTGGTGCGTGCTTCTGAAACTCGGTATTTCCACCTCTGAAGGCCATGCAAGTGTCTCATTTCCCTTGGAGCATCGTCAGGGCAAGAGCTGAATCCTATGCATCAGCACTTCTTTCCTGGAGCACCTAGAGCAGCACCCTGCTTTGTATTCATGTCATAAACATTTATAGGAGGAGAAACTGCAAAACCATACAGAACAAAAT